TGTATAAATATTGCCTATCTCAGGGGTCCCCAAGCCCTGAGCCACAGACCGGCATTGGGCTGCGACCCACAAAATGGTCGACCCATCAAATGGTCACTCATGCCCTCGTCACCTCAAGACTTGACTACTGTAATGCGCTCTACATGGGACGAGCGATACTGGGTGTACCGAGGTACACCCATGTTACACCCATCCTCCGCGAGCTGCACTGGCTCCCGATAGGTCTCCAAACGCGATTCAAGGTGCTGGTTATCACCTTTAAAGCCTTACATGGCTTAGGACCTGGATATCTACGAGACCGTCTTCTGCCACATACCTCCCAGCGTCCGATAAGATCTCACAGGATGGGCCTTCTCCGGGTGCCATCGACTAGACAATGTCGTCTGGCGGCTCCTCGGGGAAGGGCCTTCTCTGTAGCTGCCCCGGCCCTATGGAACGATCTACCCCCAAAGTTCCGGACCCTCCCCACTCTCTCGGCCTTCCGAAAGGCCATTGACCTGGCTGTTCTGGCAGGCCTGGGGCTGTTGACCTCTTGAATGAGGTCCAGCCCCACTAAGGTTGAGTGCATGTTGTGTCTTTTTTTTAACTTGCCTTGTCTTTCTATTTAAAAAATTTTAGTACTCTTTTAAATTGTTTTTATGTAAGCCGCCTGGAGTCCTTCGGGATTGGGTGGCATATAAATTTATTAAACTTCAAACTTCACCAGGAACCATGCCACGCAAGCAAGCAAAGCCCCATTTGCTTATGTGCGGGATCCAGGCAGCACGTGAAACCACACCTTCCCCAAGTCTGCGGAAAACTGCCCTCCACAGAACTGTCCCTGGCAATCAAAATGTTGAGGACTGCTGGTCTATCTCAGTTTGCCTGTTGATGGCTGATTTGTCTGAATGCCAAGTTTGCAGGAATTACTTTGTGTTTTTTGGATGTAGCTTGGTCTAGAACACCTTGTTGAAAAATTGAGTTGTTCAATAACTGAGGAATTACATTACCTGTACATGAAAAAGGTTATAGTTTAACAGCTGAATGTTTTTCTCCAGTGTAATATTTGAAAGGAAAACTTCTCAAATGGAAGAGAGAAGTGGTACTTAAGTAGGATTACTCATATATCTGTTTGTGTCGGAGATAGCTAAGAAGGATTTTTCCTTTTTGGTCAGAGGTATTGTGCAAAAGTGTACTATAACATACCTTCATCACTTGAGTGATCATTTCCTTCTTCTTCATCATCATCTCCAATCACAGGCATATTCAGTCTCTCAATATTTTCCTGTGCTGTCGGTAGTAAAGTTCCTGCAAAACAAACAAAATTAAAGAGAAATTTTCATTTCAGCTTTACTGAAATTAGATTATATCTTTGATAGCCAATCTTACAGGATACCCTTACATTGGAACAAGCAACATTTGAGGGATTTGGAACCATAATTCAGCTTTCCAAATTTCCAAAAGCTGCAGCAAATGGTTAAGGTGTAATCAAGCAAGGGTGCTTGAAATTTTTGTTCCTTTTGAAAGATATTTATTTGTTTTTTTTTTAACTTCAGTTAGCAACTCTATGCAACTACAAAAGCAACGAATATTGTAATAATGTCAAAATACAATAACAATTACAGATTACTACAATTAATTGTAAAAACAGTTGTAATGTTTCTAAGAGCTCCATAACACGCAAATCCGAAAGGTCTTCTGGAATAGACAACTTTCACAAGCAGGATAAATTTTTGATAGCCATCCATTTACAGAACTTTTTTTTCTAATAGATCCTCATTGCTGTAAACTTCTACAAAAGCAAAATGCAGACTGTGCCTTTAGTTAACTTTTGAAGATCAGCAGTTGAGTCAGAATGATTATTTTAGCTTATCTCATAACATATATGTTCCACCTTTGCATTCAAAAATACATAAATGATATGTATTGTCCCGAGCTTAAATTGGATTAAAATCTTCCCATATCATAATTGCAAAATCCTTCCCACTAGAGAGGAGACTGTTCAACGATTTACAGATGAACTAATTCTCTTTCACCAGACCTTTTCATCAGTTATGAGACTGTTATGAAATAACACACAAACACACACACACACACACACACACACACAAACAAAACTACAGGCAAATTATTTTATAAAACAAGGAAGGACATTCATGAGTAATACATTTAAAAGTGGCAAGTACAATACAAGGCTATTTTTATTGATTTATCACCCACCTTTATTATCAAACATTTACATCTCTTGTGTTATG